CATGCTGTGGCAGGTGAACAGCATATCTCTTTAGCTTTTGAGGTATCATTCAGACATTTGACTGGGAAGTAATTAATTCATAATCTCTTGTGTCTTGCAAGAGCATAACAATTCCTCCTCCAAGAGATGATCCTTTTAAAATGCTGTGCAAATCATTTCTCTGCAGAAATCCACTAGAAAAAAGAGACTTCTAGGGAAATGGAATCAAGGCATGTGAGTTTGGGTTGTGACCCTTCTTGAACTCCAAGGGTAACTGTTTTATTTTTACTCCCAAGCATGCAATTAGGAGACCCTGTTTAATAATCTCTGGCATTCCACTAAAGGCACTGGGACTAGGCAAGGTCTTACAGGTCCCTTTATCTGTAGCTGTTTCCTCTGGATAGCTAGTCATGTTGCTTATTATGTTGCAGGGAATGGGCTGTCTAGTTTCTTCAGAAGCTAGTGCTGCTCTGTGAATTAGCATCCAGCAAGAGGGTGATTGGGGTTTCAATAGGAAGCTTCCCTTCTCAAATCCTGTGTGCATCTCTCCTCCAGTATATCATATTATTCAGCTCTGATAGTGTGACTTGAGTCCATTCCTAATCCCTCAAAGGATCTGCTGTGTCAGCCATTGGCCTAGCTCTCTTGGCCTCTTCTTCAAATTTAAGCAAACTTTAGGCTCCAAGGCAGAGGTGTGTATTCTGTTGTTTAAAGAGTAAGGTAACGTTTCAGAGTATGATGTAGTAGTCTTGCCTATTAGATGTGAAGCTACTCCTTATAGGGTTTGTTTCCCATTCACCTCTCTAATACACAGGCTTATGGGATACCTGTAGTAGCTTCTAAATTTTATAGCTGTGAAATGCATGTTAAGGAAAGTGCTTCTACAGAAGTTTTTGCTTGTACTTGGGTGACACTCCAGAAGCAAGCAAGAGCTCAATTTGACAGCAACAAGTGGTGACAGAAGGATTTAATCAAAAGAGGTTTGAAGAGACCTGCTTTAGAGAACCAGTAGCAAGTCCATTTTCTAACTGCTGTCTGAAGGAGTTGAAGCACAAGTCACTCGTTCAGCTACTGGCAATGCTTCCTGCTTTGGCATCTTAAACAAGGAACTAGTAGGAGTATATTTAGTCTTTCTCTTACTGCTACACACCTCTGACTTGGAAACCATAGGGTCACCTTTGACTGATTATCTGGAAGGTGAGACAAGGTGGCCGCAGATCTAATCAGACTGAAAGTTTTTAAAATGGGGTGTTGTAACTTTTAAGGAGGAGCCTGATTAACTTTTCCATTCTGCTTCCTTTTGCAGATTCTCCTGTTTTAGTTCTCAGTGAGGTTCAGGATCTGCTAGTTGAAGGGGCGACAAGTTTGCTCAAAGATAACTTGACTCCTTTTCATTCTTTTCTCCCCCTCCCCTTTCCTGTGTGTGTAACTGCCTGGCCTTCAGCTTTTCATCCCGTTTGAACAGTGACACTGAGATCTTGTGCTTGTTCTTCTGCAGTCAGGATGGGGGTAATCTTCCACACCTTGAGAGAGTAACTCTGCTGTGTAACAAGGCAGGATACTGGACTGTGTTCTTTAACTGGCTAGCTCAGCTTCACTGCTTATCCTCTGCATTACCTGGATGAAACCCCCTCCCATCTTTCACAGACCTTCCACATTAAAGCTTGTTTACTTGGATCACTGTGCATCTTTGTTCAGTATATTTGCTCTCCACAGAAATCTAAAAATTGTTCTACTTGTTTCTTGCTTTCTTCAGAGTTGGTTTAAGTTTGGAATATTTAATTGAATTTTGGTGTCCGGGAAAGTGTATTCTGTCAGTGTCAGGTACTGACCTGCAGTGCTGCTCTCTTCTGTCTCACAGCTCCCTCTGCTGTTTCCATCTTGCAAACTGAACCAGTAAGTTGGTAACCCGTGGCTTCTTTTATACAGCCAGCCATAGCCAGGTGCACGTTATTAAGATTAATGGAGACACTGCCTGTGTGACTTGAAAATGTGGAATGGGCCAGGGGTCACCAAAAAACCTCACTGTGTTCAAGGTGCATTTCTCTGACACTTAAAAAAGCCTGTATCAAAATGAAATGAAACTGAAGCCTAATATTGTCCTCCTGAAGAGGGTGAAAGGATAAACCTGTAACCCCATTAGTCACGTTTTTGATGCACTAGAACAGGGCTGGCCAACCTGTGGCATGTCACAAGTGGCACAGGCAGCCTGTATGTGTGGCATGAAGCAGATCAGGGAAGGGGCAGGGAGCACAGAGTAAACAACAAAAGGAGCAAAGGAATGGGCTGGGAGTGACATTCCTGGAGTGGGCAAGGCTCATTTGTGGCATGCGTGTCAAAAAGGTTGGTCCTCACTGCACTAGAAGAAGGTGCTCTCATGCTACAGGTCACGTAAGAACCTACCCAGCACAGGCAAGAAGATGAAATGCACTGTTCTGTAGCGCACACTGTGTGCCCACTGCCAGTAGTAACTTTTTGATCTACATGGTTTTAACCATTAATATCTTCCTAAGAATGATGGTTCTGAGAGCTCGACCGTTTGTCTTGGTAGGCATTTTCATAGCTATTCCAGATGGGCTCTGCAGGCACTTTTAATTGGAAACTGCCTCTTAGACTTGGTGGAAAAGACAGTGAGCTGTGCACTCAGTGGGAAGTGCTCCTCATGGAAAAACTCTGCTGGGGATGTGTATGCTGTTAAGAGATCTTGTAAGCTGACTGGTCAGGGAGCACTTTCTTATGGAAACCAGAGGGTGGGGGTGTAGTAGGCAGTAGTGTTATCATTTTAATAAGCAGATGAAGGGCTCCTTGAGGCCTCTTTTCCTCTTTCACAAAGGGAACCTGGGCCGGGGAAATTAGTGCCTTGTGGTAGAGGGATTTCACAGCATCTCCTGGGGAGAAGATACTAATCAAAACCAAGAACATGGCTTTCAAGTGATGGGATTTCTGAAGGCAGGAGGTTCAGCAAAGAATGGGAAGATAAAGCTGAGGTGTCAGGAATTCAGTCTGCAATGGTTAGGCAGTGATGAACTGAGACCTCATGGTACCAAACTCCTTTCTTCCCTGTCACACTTGGCTGTACATGCAAACGGTGATGAAGCCCTTGTCTTTGATTGGGTTTCTGGGTGCTAATGGGTAATGTCCAAAAAAGGTCTGGTTTGCCAAACTGTACAGAAGTAGTACGCTGACTTGGTGTTGACCTGCTGTCTTTTATCCTAGCTGCTCTAGTGTTGTGCTTCCTTCCATACTGCTGCACTGTCTTAGCTACTGCCTTAAATAAAGGATATATGCTGGCACAGATGCATACTATAGTAATGTTAAATCCCCTAAATAATAGGGCTTGGTAAAAATTTAACGAAAATGCATCAAGTTGGCAAAATGCACTTCAAACCAACCCAAGAGATGCAGCAAAGCCAAGTCAAATAGGAACATTATTTAATGGCGATCTCCAATAATGGATTATTTAATGGAGATCTCTTAGCCTGGAGCTCTTACCACTTTATGGTCCAGCCCTCAACTTGAGAGGATGAGACCCCCTATGCTTCCTCCTCCACAGTGATTCAGAGGTGCAGACTGTGTAGCCTGATGTGCTGTTGTAAGCAGCTGGCCCACTTTTTCAGCTACTTCCTTCCAGCCTAACCAAATTGCCCTCAGACCAGGAAGTAGCAGGAGGTATGTTACAATTTAACCCATTCCCTATCTTGGATGTTTACATGACTGTAGATAAACTCACTGCCATGACTCCCTTCTCAACTCAGAAGAGATGAGGAGCTTTTTTGCCTGTTCTTCACTAGAGGCCACTGTCCCAGAATCCTTCTGTTGTTTAGTACGTTGGCAGAACACACAGTTTTATACCTTTTATCTTTATTTTCATGAAAGTGTCTCCTCCTGCTTTGTTTGATGGAACCTCTCATACCCATTGGGGAAGAGTTTTCTTAATAAACGCAGTTTCCTTGCTATGGTTTGTGCTTATGTGTTGTTGAGAAAATGCAGATAGCCTGGGAGAGAGAGCTACTAGTTTTGTGCCCATGAAGAGATCAGCACTCTCTGCTTATACCTCAAGATGAAATGGCAAGGGGGAAGACAAGCTGTTTAGAACCAATTCAATCACTTCCACTGTGGTTCAGTTGTTATTTTCTGGAAGCACATTGCAGCTTTCCTGTCTGTATCGGTTCACCTCATGAGTCAAACTATTACAACTTCCATGTCAAAATCTGGCTTCAGGAAACCAATTCTACTGTGGAATTAGGACTAGAATTAGTTTCTGAAGATATGCTGTTTTTCAGTTACTGCCATCATTTTCTGTCCTTTTTCTGCCGTCTTCCTCTCTTTGCAGCTTCATTTGCTCTTTGTGGAGAGCAGCTCTGCAGCGCCCTTCCTGCGCTGGGAAACTTAAGTAGAAAGGGCAAGGAGGGAGAGGGGAAGGGAGGTGCCATTAAGCACAGAAGGGAAGCAGGGGGAAATTTTTGTATTATTTGGGGACTTGGAAAAAGAAAAGAAAAAATAAAAGTCCTTGTCTGCTGCCCCTGCAGGGTGGTGCCTGTCCTGACAGCAGAGGGGTGCCAGCCAGCACCAGCTGCTGCTCCTGCATCCTGCTTCTCAAAATCCTGGGTCCACCTATGCCTTCATCTGCTAGAGAATGGTGGAGCAGGTTTATCACAACTGCGTTACCTAAAGCCAAAATAATGTAATAATTCATCTCTGGCTCTCAACAGAGTGTAGGAATTTGTATGTCCTTGTGCTTCAAAAAGGACTTCTCTGCACTATGGATTGTAAATTGCTTCATACTTAATGACTGGCTTTCATAAGCTTTCCTCTGGCTATAGCTAACTTTTGAAACTGTAAGGGATATTCTTTTGTTTTCAAGGAGGACAATGAGTCCTCTGCCTCTTTAGAGCTAGCAGTTGTTCTTGGTTCATACTGTGCTCAGCATTTTTCTTCATTTTACTTTTCTAAAGTTGGGCATAATTAGTTATGTACTGGAAATCTGAAAACTTTCAGGGTTTAAACTAACATTGAGACACTTTTCTGCCTTGATTTGAGAGCTGGATAATATGGATGCAGCTGAGGAGTGCAGAGACTTATTGACTGCAACTTCAAGTCTGCAATCTTTATTTGTATCCTTATTATCAACTTCTCAGATCAAAGCAGAAGTGTCCCAGTGTTTGCATCCAATCCAAGGCAAACAGTCTTGCAGCTTCAATTATGCTTAGTTGATTAGCTTCTATTATGACAGAACCCACAAAAATACAACAATCCTGGAGTCTTGTTCATATTTCCCTTTTAAGAAACAAAGGATAGAAATAACTTGGTTAGCTAGAATGAGTCTTGCATCTATGTTCCTAATAGCCATATAGATGATGTGACACCCACAAAGGGAATGCTACTAGTGTCTTGCATTAGAAGAACTTCTGTTAGAGACTGTTCCGATGACTTGAGATGCTTCTATGTTTCTCTGAGTGAATGTCATTAAGTGTACTACTGAGCTGTGAGAGTCATTTGAGCTGGTCAGACTTAGTCTCTCTAATATAGGAAATTTCAACTCTGTTCTTCTTGTACCTGAATTCAGTTTCCTGGCAAAGCAGTTATTGCTAGGTGTGTGCCAAACAGAGGTATGTCATTGTTAATTTGTATGGGCTAATTTGGGTCCAAGACGTGTGCACTTGGAAGGAAATAACGTGACCCATGGCTTAATATATATATATATATATATATTTTAACTCTTTAGATGTAGCTTGCATCTTCCCAAAGGCTACTTTTCATGGACTCTACTGTTCACTTACGCTAGTTTCTACAGTTAGGTCAGGGGTGGGCAAAACGTGGGGTGGATGAGGCCTGCCAGGCCATTCTATCTGGCCCATGGGGCCTCTAAAAAATTTAGAAAATTAATATTTATCTGCTTCTGGCTGCCTGTCATGCCACCCTTGATGGCTTGCCAAAACTCAGTAAGCGACCCTCTGCCCAAAATAATTGCCCACCCCTGAGTTAGATGAATAAAACTAAGGCACATTGAGAAAAGCTGAGTTTTTGTTGGTGGAGCATGTGCTAATGGTGTTCCTTTTTTACTTTTAACATATTGCTCTAACTCCACAGAAGAATTGGCCTTTGTGCTTCGGGGCACTGAGGATGTGCTATGATGGAGCAGGCTCTTGGTATCACGTGTTCTAGTGGTGGAACTGACTTCTGATGTAGACTAAGGCAGCAGTTCCCAAACTCTGACAGACTCTGCACCACCAATTTAAAATGATGCAGCCTTAAGTACCACCAGCAAATTTTTGTCATATAAAGTAATTATAATACATCTCTTAATGCGTACCACTGGTGGCACGCATACCGCAAATTGGGAACTGCTGGGCTAAGAGATCTTCCTGCTTAAATAGTGAGAGCTGACAATGATTGTTTATAGTCTCTGATTAGCACTCGTGCCTGCGTTTGGAAGAAGAAAGTGTGCTAGAAAGCTGGTGCTTTGACATACGTCATTCTCGAGGTGGAAAAAAAAAAGAAAAGAGAGAACCTTGCACTTCTTTGGGCAAAGTGGGTGGGGTTTCTGTTCCTTCTGTATTTGTGGGGAAAATGGCTCTGCTCTATAACAGTCAGTTCTTGTTGGTCCTCTGCTGAAGATACAATGTAGAGTGAGACTCAACTTGTCTGTCCCCACTGTGGTGAGAAATCTTCATGTCCATGTCCTGTCAGGCTTTGTCACTGGTGTACAATTCCTGTGTTTAAAAAAAAAAAAAAAGATGTTGGAGAAACCTTGCAATGAAGTAACTTTCAGGATTTCACTGAGTTCTGCTTCTCCATTCACTGGATTGGGGAGGAATGAATCTATTCTAGCATTTACTGCTCTTGGCATTTAAGTCGATGCAGCACATGTGGTGGAAGGGACTTATAACCAAACTAAGCGTTCTTTAAATGCTTTGCTTTTCCCCCCCAATAAACTAACCCCACTAATACATACCCGTTGCTTTGCCTGGGCTCATCTTTACCTTTCCTTCCATCTCTTGCTGTCATGATCCCGAATGCCTGAGCAGACTGCATCATCAGATCGCCGAGGAGAGTGGGAGATTCAGCCAAGCCGGCAGACAAATACCTCGTACCTGACATCTCACTTGGCTGCGGATCGGCATGGAGGATCCGTTCAGGTATGGTCTTTTCCTGACCTGCACAGCTTTGCCATCAGAACCTGCTTCAAATTAATTTCCAGTCTCATTGATTCTCTGCTGTGGTGCTTGTGTGATCAGGAGAATTGGCTGCACTTTGAAGCAGTTTTGGGGCTTGTTGCAAAACCAGACTAGCCCTGTCCTACCCTCACTTCATGCTTAAAAAACAGTCTTGCAAAGCCAAGAACTTGTTATGAATGGTCACCGCACTTCACTGCTACAGTCCCAGCAAGGTTTTTCCTTTGTTTTTGGTTTGTTTTGTGTTTTATAAAATTGCATAGGTACGCTTTCTTGGAACAAATGAAAATGACCAAATAAATTATTATTGTAGTTAAGCATAGGAAAGAATGCTGTTTCTATTTGTACTTGTAAGCAGGGGGACGGGGTACTGGATGGCATTGTGTATGGACTATAAAGCACTACAGGGTGGTGTAATCAAGAAGTTGGAGTTTTGGACTATTGATGTGGCCCTACGTGGGCTGTTGCACACAAACAAATTCTAGGAAAGCAATAGTGTTGTTCTAGTTCAGCCTTTATATCCAGGCTGTGTGCAGGTGGATGTCTGAGTACATCGTATGTGGGAGAATCCAGGGACATTGCTGGGTTGGCTGTCCTGTTCTCACAAGTTATTTTACAAACAGCTTGAGAAGCAGCATGTTGTGTTGCTACCACAAAATGGCACTGTGGAGTGCTGGTGACCCCATTGTTGGCTGCTACTGACATCGTGTTGTTTTTCTTTTATGCTAGTGGTAGGGAAAATGAATGAAAAATGCATTTCATACAGCAGTCAATTTATGTTCCATGGAAAAGGTGAATGTGCTGTTAAAGTGTGAGGAGAACCAGGTACCCTGTTTCATTTTTAGTGCAACAGCCATGTACCTATCTCAGCTGTAGCTTGTGACTCATGCTGCAGCATGGCCATGCCAACTGGTTGTTGGAGTGAATGCAAGTTGACTTGGCCCAAGGTTTGGGCCAGAATTAAAGAGAATGAAATAAAAATTGAACCAGGCTTCAACTGCTTCTTAAGTACTTCAGGAGCATTACGCAACAAACTGTTTTGATTTTGATTCACTCTAATGAAGTAAAAGTTTTGCAGAAGTGCTGTGTTGCTGTTTTCATACCGGGCTGGTGTACTAGTGCAAAAGCCAACTAGACCTCTTGGTCATTCCTGGCTACGTGGAATTGTTTATATCCTCCTCTAGGAAATGTCTTATTTATATTTGTTGCTCCTCAGCATTTGAAATGGCAGAAAGGGTGGATCACTGTTGGGGAGAAAAAAAAATATTTCGTGAAATTGTTTGATGTTGTTTTTTAGCATACTGGAATCCTAATGGTAAGCACAAAATACTACCAAAAGAGGAGTATGTCTAAAATGAATCATTACCTTATGGGTTCTCCTGTACAGGTGATATGCATGCCACCATGTTCTGCTGTGTAGTTCTTGCCCATACTGGTCATGAGAGAATTTTTTCCACTACATGGCAGGCATACAGAAGGAGGCCACTATAGTCAAGGAACTTCCAAACGTCTTTTAGATCTTGTGTGTGGAAAGATCATTCATAGCTGTAATGTTGGTTATTGCTGAGGTCTAATTTTTTGTTAATATTTGGCTAGATTTAAGGGACCTGGTTTTTGTAGGTCAGCTTCTTCCCTTTTTTGTTTTTCTCCCACTTTGAGAATTCTCTGAGGTTCAGAAGTTGAAACCCGGAACGAGGATACGTTGGTGTATGAAGAATATGTAGTACTGTTTTCTTCTTTGACATAGCGTAAGTCGCTGCAGAGATTGCTAACTGTGTTGGGCAGATGCATAAAAAAATGATCCCACTGTGAAGCATGACTTTGGCAGAAGCCTTCAGTGTAAGGAACTGTTCTGCTCAAGGGAAGTTCTTATTTTACTGTACCAATGCAAAGTCCTCAGTCAGGGTAGTATGCTGGTATAGTAATGCCAGGAAAGTGCTCCTAATTTAAACCCAGTCTTTGGGCCTATCCAGACAGCTAATTATACTGGTGGTTGTGCCACTAAAATCCATCCAGTATAACTCCCTGTGTGGGTACACTTACACAAAAGACATTGGAACATTTGTTAGTTTTGGTTTTCTTCCCTTTAAAAAGGTTAGTTAAGCCGCCACATCTGTGCAGAGATCCTCCTGTATGGCGCATCTTAAACTTCTATTTACCTGCTACTGGAAATAGGAGTTTCTCTGCTGCTTTCATTGATGTATCATGGGTACTCAAAAAAATCCTCAACCCTAAGAAGGCAGTTTTTAAACAGCAGCATCTAGGAGGTAAAAACCACTGACTGTCATGTATGGCAGAGTACACCAGCATTAAGTTTAATATTTAAAAAAAAAAAAAAAAAAAAAAAAGGAAGAGCTTTTTGTGAAGTTACATTGGACAAGAAGTAGCTGTGGAAATGAGACTACCTGCAGAACTCTTTGCCAGGCCTACTGGGAGTAGAAGGGCTCACCTTGTTTCACACTGGCAGAAGAGGTGGTACTAGAGAAGGGTGTGCCAATGAGGGGAATCCACTCCTGAAAGGGGAGCTCCAAAGGCAGAACCAGGGTGACTCTGAGGTGAAGCAAAACTTTAGCAGTCTTTGGGCATAGGATAGGAACTGCCTCCTCCTTGAAACTTCAGAGGCACATTGAGCGCACAGCTTGCAGGATTTAACAGACCTAAAAGTTGTCACTGCTGGTAAAATAGTGAAGCCCTTTCTAAAAGACCTGTTGTGTTTCTAGCTTTCTTCCCACTCCTTTTCTATGGTAATTGGGTCTTTCTAACCCACCAGAGTACCTGGTTGACACTGTGGGTCCTAATGAAATCCATATATGCCAGTGCTTCCCAGACTTAGTTATCACAATTTTAACCCCAAGCTCTTTTCCCGAGAGAGCGATGTTTGCAAAGGGAGACCTATGGATGGTCCTCTTCGTTCTTGCAGGGTTGTTAGTTGGGATGTCAATGCAACAAGAAATTCCTTGCCTAACAGTGGGTTAGAATTTGGGACTGAATGTGATCAGGAGTCCTTTGGACTTTTTGAACAAAGTATGGAGAGCCAAATTCTGGTTGTCTGTGGATTCATTCGTTTGTTACTGTTGCAGTCACACCTTCAGCAATATGGTCGCTGTGAGACACTCAATCTCATCTGCCCTACCAGCTGTGATACCTTTGGCTTTTAAATGAGGACTCAAGTGGTTTACGATCAGTAGTGGGGGGGTGGCGGGTGGAGGGAATGTCAAGGCACCCTGTAGCTTAAGTTGTGTTGAGGCAAAAAGAGATCAGAGTTCAGGTAGTTATTTTGTCACAAGAAGCAAACAGAAGAGAGTTCACTTCTCTGGGATTGGGGGGAGTGATTGATGCAAGATGAAATGAGTTCTGGTATGCCATCAGTGGTCTTGAGATAAGGCTGAGGGATTTGACACGTGGACCAGCAGGCCGTCTCTTTTTAAAGGAGGTGTGAGGTGTTTATTAGTTTGGTGTGCAAATGCTGAAGAGTCCATTTTTGTCTTCATGATATATCATTGGCAAATATTGTCAAAACAGTTGGCCTGTAAGGGTGAGCCCTTCAGATGATGGGGAGTTGGCAGGTTCAGACCTAGAAGATTTCTACAGAAAAACTAGTATGAAGATGCCATGGAGAAGTGGCTTAGCAAAAATGTAGTGAACAGGTGTTACAAGGATGTAAATAAGCAGTGGGTCAAAATAAATCTTGCATTCAAACTATGTTTTCCTCTTAATTTCAGACAGACAGTGGAACAGCATCCAAAAAGTAGCGGTAGAATCTTCAATCTGACACAAAGGTGTGGACCAAGCCCTGGGGAATGTATTGAAGGGAATGACCCTGCTGTGGCATGCATAGTGGATTAGACCTTAGCAGTCTCTGACTTCTGTGAATCAGTGCACTCAGTTGCATGCTGCCTTGTGGGGGATACCTCATTTAATTCTGCAGAGGTGCTGGGAAAGTACAAAGGGGCAGGGAGGGAAAGGGGTACACACTATGGATTTCATGTGCTTTTCTTACAGTACCTGTTGCCCAGACTGGTAAAGACCTACTGCACACATAAGCATGACCTAGCAGTGGATTTAATTAATAGTGGCTTCTATGATTTTTGTGTTTCAGGTGGTCAGCTCGACCAATGGGGAACTGAACGTTGATGACCCAACAGGGGCACATTCCAATGCTCCAATCACAGCACAGGCTGAGGTGGAAGTGGTGGAGGAAGCTAAGTACGTTTGCTTTACAATTTGAGCTCTTCACTGATGTAGTTTTTAAGTCGTCTCTCTGCAACAAGCTTTTACCCATGTTTAAGTATTTGATGCTTGTTTCCATATCTTTCCCCTGAATCTCACTGCTTTTTGCATGGTTCTTCAGTGCTGCTTCTGCTGCCTTTTTTTTTTTTTTTTTTTTTCCTATCTGTGATGCCTGGAGAATGTAACTTTTGGCCAGAGCATGTATTGCAAAGAAATGGTGACATACAAAAATAACATGAAAACCAGTTGCGCGAATCTCCCTTGAATCTAGGAGGATATGCTCCTTCCCTCTGTTATGAGCATGGAAATAGTTCAGCTTCAGTTCAGGGAACAAAGTGTCAGTCTAAAAGTCAGCAGTGTTTTATCTCTAGCTTTGCGTGTTTGAGGTTTTTACATAGTCCTGGTACAGGGACACTGCTTTCTCTCTGAATTTTCCCTAGCCTAGTCCATTAGGAGCTGATTGAGGGAGAAATTGTAAATAGCCCTTCTTCCTGTGGGAACTGGAAATCTCACTTTGAGCTGACAGTTGCGGTAGCAGGAAGTGTCATCTGGAGCTTCTGATGAAATTGAGGGCAATCACTGTCAGCCATTTCTGCTGCTTTTGTATGTGTGCTGCCATCCAGCACCACAAGAGGGCACTTTGCATGATCCCCCTTTAACAGGTGGAATGTGGGGCCTGCTGTCTCTCTCCTGCATCAAGAAGAGCTTTGAATACTAGGCTAAAAACAGGCTTCAGATTTCCCGAGACAAAGCCTTTTATTCTGGAATTCTTCAGGTGTACAAGCCCATTGTCCTACCCTAAGTAGCTGTGAAGTACCCAGCTAACACTCCCTCTCCCCATGTGAAGCTAATTGGAGTTAATTGCTTTTCACACTGCATATATAAACAACTACCCCATGGCCTGTTTTGATGCAAATCAAAGCCCAGGGTCAGCCTATGAGTACTGTCTGTTTTTAGTCCTAGTGGGTTGCTTGGGTTGTGTAGTGCCTAACAAGTCAACTTCCCCAGCACAGGAGGAATGGGCTCTGAGGCTGCCTCCATTTTCTGCATTTGGAAATTACTCAGTGATCTAAGCTACAGCAAGGCTCAATGAACTTGTTGCTTGACAGGCCTCACGTTTGACCAGTTGGGGTGGGAGGTAGAGTTGTAGAGCTAGAGAAGGCTTGAAGAAATGTGGGCCTGGCACTTTCCCATGTCAGGACAGCTTCTGTAGATGTCTGTCACGTTGGCTCCAGCAGAGAAACATTATCTTTCTCTCCTGAGGAACAGTGGCTTGGTTGTCCATTGACCATCTTGCCATGAATCCCTGTGGATAGTAAGCTACAGTTGTTAGCAATCCCTCAATTAAGAGATGATCTCTACTATGGCTCATTGATGGGTCTTAAGGTGACTTAATAGTCCAATCCTTGAGCCACAGTCATATTGTGAGGAAGAGACTTGGGAGCAAATTTGTTTTCTTTTCAATGGAAGATGGGGATTTCCTGGAAGGGGGTAGTAATCAAGTGTAGCCTAATGAGTTGGCCAGATTTCCCTCGTGTGGACAGCATTGTCTGTTGAAACTGTCTCGGCAAACTCTTTCGTCTTGGAGCAACTGCTGCGCTGCTTGCCAGCATGTGTAGCCTGAGTCCTACCACCATTAAAGAACAGTGACTGCAACTTATTCCCCTGGATGTGGCAAACAATCAGACATTAGGAGGAGTTGGCTGTCTCTTTCAGGACTGCCTTTGTTTCATTAGTACAGCACTGAGCAGTGTGGTCCTGGTCTGTGACTAGGGCTCTGAGGTTCAGCCGTTGCACAAAATCCTTTTGTTCTGTGTTGGCACAGGCAGTTTCTTTGGGAGGGATAACACTGCCCTACCACATCCCCATGAAGATGTGAAGTGCCTACTTCCTTTCTTTCAGTACCAACCAGTGTATGTTTTGGAGCTGTGTATTTTTGGTGGGGGAAGGTGGATGGTTGTTGCAGTTTGGTGCCTTGTGCTGATATGCTAACAGTTACCCTACTGAGTCAGGCTACATAAAGTATCTCATTATCTTTCCTGGCAAATATTATTTGTTGTCACAAGTCCAAATGTGTCATCCACCTCTCAGTTATCTGGGCATATGAGGAGGTTGGAGGTCTTTTGGACTTGAAGTATGCTCCCAGCTGGCCTGATGCTACTGCTTTGTAGTTGGCAGGGAGGGTAAGGGTTAAGCGAAGTTGCATGGCTCTCTAATTTTTGAGATGATGCATTGTGTGGAAGACGGAGTGGACGTCTCTCTTCCCAGCACCTGTGGGCAAGGCAGGGGAGCTGGTGGTTTGTGCCAAAGTAGTAAGTGAACAAACCCTCAGCAGCTGTGATCAAGAGCAGTGTTTTATGGGAACAGTCCTGTACACACTGCACCTCTCATCCAGCCCTCTTGTCTGACTGTCCTCAGACTGTGGTTTGGATCCTTTTCCAGCTCTGGTGTCACCTTCCTACTGACCCAGGCACCCTCCCTATTTCCAGCTACAGAAGTCCCTGATGCTTTATTCCCTCTGTCCTGGTGGGCTTGTCCCCAGGCCTCAGGATAGCAGAAGAAATTTACTCCCTCTCAGCATTGACTTGGCAGGATCCAGTGTGATCCTCTTCTGCAACCCAGCTATGGGGGCCCCTAGGTGGTATAAAGGCTAGAAGAGGATGAGTGGGCATGGCGCATCTGCCAACCTGCACTGCATGCTTGCATGGCTCAGTGACATGCTTTCATCCCACCTCTGTGAACTAATTGCTCTTTCTTCCTTTCTGTGTTTTCTCTCTCTACACACTCTGTAGCTGCCTGAAAATGCTCAACTTGTGGTGAGTCCCTCTCTCCAGTCCACATGCGAGGGGGAGCGGACCAGACTAGACTGAGATTGGCAAAATGCAGTCACCCTAAACCTTTTAGCCACACGAATCAAACAAAACTCAGTGCCAAACCAGTGCAATTACTGCTTAAAGCAAGGGTGGGGAACACTTGTAGGACTGTGGGAGGGACTCTTCAACAGGAGGCCATGCTGGCCTAAGCAACTGGACTGACCCATCGAAAACTCGACCCCCCCCCCCCCTTTTCTCTATGGCTTTTACTTTATTCACTGAACGCTCACGGTTCTTGAACAAATGATGTTTGAAGGAGTTGGGCAGAGGTGGGACTAAGCCTGAAAAACCTCTTGTGGGAATTCCTCACAACAGATGGCTCAGGAATGGAAAGCTCTGCAAACCACCCAGGTCTCCTGGCAGCAGGGTGCTTGTCCTCAGCAGGCATTGGCATCCTCCTATGAAGGCTGTCTTCCCCTCTGCAGACCTCCCCATCAGGGGAACAGTCCTAGGTATCTCTTATATAAGTCATTAGGACCTCCCTCACAGCGGTATGAGAGAGGCCGGGCTAGAGCCCACTGCTCCACTGGATGGGTGAGAGCTAGTGGTTGCCTTCTGGAAAGTTCCTGCACCAGGCAGGTGGGAAGGGAAAGGCCACAATGCAAGTCTAACGGGGGTGGGAACAGAGCAGCTGCTTTGTGAGTTTGCTCAGTGTGCTGTGCCAACCCCTCATGCCCAGGGAGACCCTAAGCAGTGAAGCTCAGCATATCTGTAGGGTGTTGTGCTTTGAGTCCTATCTACATGTCGGTCCAGCTGTAGAGAAGTTTAAAACTCCCTGAAGGCCCCATGTGTGGTGAAGGATGTTCCCGCTTGTTGGCGGACTGGTCCTCCTCAGCCCTCCTCTCCATTGGCACTTGCCTCCAGTATCTCTGGCATCTCTGGCTTCTCTGTATGTCATAGTCTGGGGCTGTTCTCTTGGACATTGTCTGCATGCTCGAGGGTCACGTTCTGTAACTGTCAGCCTGCCTGATTCTTTTATTTTGTTTCTGCCTCTGCCTGTGTTAATGAACTCTCAGGACTTCCTTTCCTGAACCCTTCCAAACAAGCTGAGGAGCCCCCTATCTGAGTGAAGGAGTTGCCAGGGAAAAAAATGGCTGGAAAGCATAGCCAGAGATGTTAAGCCCTCCACATTTGGGGCAATAAATGCACCTACTGCTTGGGGCCCACTTTGTATCCCTAGTGGATGGGATACACACATTCAGTCATCCCTGCTGCAGACTGCTCCCATTTCTTCCCATGACAGTTCCCCTTTCATTTTCTGGTGCCTGAGCCATGAAGTAAGGTCATTACTGTGGATGCAGAGTGAAATAGGGGGAGGAGAGGGGATGGGGATATGCATACAGATATCTGGGTACATTTCTTTGGCATGTGCTCTGTAGATTCCACCAGATAATTGCAGAGATCTCTTCTGGCTTTCACAGCTAGATACATAGATCATGCTTTCCACCAGCCTGGGATACTAGGGACTCTGGGCAACTACCATCTGGTAGCTCTTCAAGGGGGCCTATGTGGAATGATCTATTTACTTGAAGAGTGATCGTGATGCACATTCTTCAGCCCCAACTCCAGAACTGGGCCTTGCTTTCTGGAGTGGACTTCAAGGATGAACCCTGGACAATGAACAGCCCTTCACCCCACGAGACCATTCCTTCTGGCCAGGGCTCTGAAAAGGGGTGATGGTAGCTTACCCTTTCTATTGCCATAGCTGCATCTGCTCTGCATACATGAAGGATATATATGTTCAGGGCTGCCAGTTTGGCACCTGTCACATCCCTCGCCTGAGGGACATAGTGGTGTTGGTCATTCCTCATTTTCATAGCTAAGACCTGAAGAGAGGTGGAGGGTAGAGAAACAAAGCTAGCATGTGTTTGCTGTTCAGTGCACAGGTAAATGTTAAATGACTGCATTGGGCCACCAGTCACCCAATGGAAATCTAGTCTGGAGATATCATGCAGCTTCTGAATGTCTTTGCTCCTGATGGATTGTGGCTAGGGGCACTTACCTACAATAACCCTCACGCCTCCATCTGCTCTTATGCTGCTTATTCTCTTCTTCACTCCCTAAAAAAACCATAATCCTGTAACAACTTGGTTGCCATGGAAATTGTTGTGGTGTCATAGGGAGGAGATGAGCAGGGAAGCAGATGCACTTGCAAAGAAGCAAGATTTTTTTTTCCATGCAAGAAGTTACTGACAGTAGAACCCGAAGACAGAGAAATACAGGCAGGCCTTGAAATGCCATGTAATTTCATGAGGAGCCAGCAGGAGCTGAAAGCCTGGGTGATGGAGGTTTTAGTCACGAGATCTACTGAAATTAATCTTTCAAGGATCAGCTGTGAAATGGTGTCCATTTCTTACCACATCTGTTTCCAACATTCCTGGTGTTCTGCCTCCCTTACTCCCTGTGCCCATGCTCAGGGAGTAAACCAGGTGTGCAGACATGGGCTAAATGATTGGTCTTGAAACTGAAGCATTGGTTGCTTGTTCTCCATTAAGGGTTCAGTAAAGGAAGCTGGCCCCTAACAAAGCCCTCTTCATCTTAACTTGTGTTTCTAAATTGCTCATGTCCTGTGGTGTGCACACTCATCAGGCTGGGCTCAGACCATTCCAGCAGCATCAGTCTTGGACAAAGGAAACAGAATAGCTGGGTCCTTGGGTGTATCTCACTTGTCTCCGTCAGTCCCAGTGTGTAGTCTGGCAACCTGGAGACCTTTGTTCCTTTTTTCCCCCAATTAAGCCCCTGGAGGCAAAGACCTGCATTCGTATAGTGCCCAGGAGAGCAATCCCCTAATGCTGACTAGGGGCCTCTGGGCACCAGCAAGTTATTGTAAATAACAGTTGCCGACCTTTTTCAGTAACTGTAGATTTCAGGTTCTAAAAGAGCCCAGCTGACCTGTCTTCCTAGGATCTCCTGGCTCTTGTGATCCTAGCAGCTGGCCATAAATAGCTACTGTCTGAGTACCATGCTGATGCCCCTCCCAGCCTAGGCTAGAATAGGATGCTGCTGGCATTGGATAAACTTTTTCTTCTTGGCGGCATTGGTAGGTCTGCTTTATCCATAGCACTGGGCATGTTGAAATCCCTCTGCATGTCTCCCTAGGTGAAGGGGAAGAAGCCCAGTTCTTGGAAGTCGGGTGGTGGGAGCCAGTTGCGTGGTTTGATCCATTCCATTGACTTGTTATGTGTTTTTATACTCCAGGTGCTGCTGCTTCTTCAAGAGAAAAAGGAAGAAGACAGCCCAGCGTCACAAGTGACCAGTGCCTCTTGGGGCCTTGCAGGAACTCGATCTGCACCTGCAGCTCCTGCCATGTCTTACTGAAAGGGGCTTCTCTCTAGGGGTGAGGAAGCAGCCGAGGAAGAGAAATGTGACATTTTAAACCAAAAAGAGAAGAAGAAAACGTTCCAAAACAAACCAATCGGGGTGGATCTGCTGAATGGTCTCCCCCATTCACTCCAAGCCTGAGGCTTTTCTGGTGATCAGGACTGCACCTGGCTCAGGCCTTGGTTTGCCCTGTGGGAAGGTGGGCTGGCTGGCTGACCCTCTTCCCCACTGTTTACGGCAGAAGGCATCATTCACACCAACCTGAGGACTATGCTTTGTTTCCTGCTCACTTTACTCCCCTTCCTATGCTCTCTGCTCCTCCATTCTCCTCCCTCCCCAATAAAAATACTCCAGAAGGCTTAATTGGCTACGGAGAAGGTGAGAGAATGCCATCTGGGCAGGGGAGAGAGGTGTGGGCAAAGGGCCTGGCTGGGACAGGGGAAAATTTTCACCCCCTCCTTCCTCTAAAGTCCCTTTCAGTGTCAGCCTCTACTGCCAGCCTCGCCAGGTACAGCAGTGGGACATTAGTTCCCTTGTAGGTTCCTTGGGAACAGTTACTGTAGCACGCAAGCTGTGAGAAATTTGCTATCTACTGTTCCAGTCTTAGTTTTTTTCTGGCTTCTGTGACACCTCCCTTCTCCAAACGGTAAACAGAGCAATGTGGATTGTTTTACAGAAACTGACATTGTTGCACTTTTTATTATATATTTTTTTTTTTTTAGCGTTACAGATGCATATTGTGTCTGTAGATTTTGTTTTTTTGCATGGATGACTGATGCCAGCACAGACAGACATTCAGCTGGGAATATGGTGGGGTGCAAAGAATGCCCTCAACTTAAGGTTTGCTCGCATCAAAACAAACCAACCCTAGTGCTGGTCTGGGGTTCCCAACACCCACAACCTTGAGGGAAGCATACTTGAATTTTCAATCACCCGTTTTAGCTGCCAGTGAATGGTCCCTATCATGGTTTCCTACACAGTGCCTAACTTGACCAGCTTGGAGCTGAAAGGCACTAGCTTGGTGTTGACAGGACGGAGAGGCATCCCATTTGCTGAGGAGTTTACTCTGGATAGAGAAGCAGATATGGATTCAGGAAACCAGAAACCTGATGTTTCCCAAACTGCAAACCTGTGGCTGGGTGGCCTTGTAGCCTTCTTGAAAGGTTCCTGGGAGGGTGATTTTTTTTTTTTTTTTTAATAATTTTTTTTTGGTAAGCACCTTCAATGATGAAATCTTAGCAAGAACAAAGCTGCCCTAGCAGGGAGGGAGCAGACACTTCACTGCCTTACAATGACTTTTCTCCTAGTGATAAAACAGGTTCCTTGAATTGGACCTTGTGCGGGCTTTGCATCTGCTCTGCAGCTTGCCTAGGTCTGGGAACACCAGCTCGGCCCTGTCTGCTGGGCCTGGAGCACACACCATGTGCTCCTCCCTGGAGGGGGGCTAAGGTTTTAATGTACAGCTTTTGAGCCAAGCTAATACTTGGCCAAGGGCTTGGGGCACTCTGCGCAAGTGTGGGGAAAAAAGGAGAAAAAAAAATCTTGCACCTCAGTGGTAGGGATTGTTGAAGTCAGAGGAGGCTGCATTACTCCTGGGGACAGTGTACTGGGTGGTGCATGTGGCCAGGTTTGCAGGAGCTAAACAAGCTTTTTTCCCTTTTTTTTTTTTTGTGGAGGCTGTGAATTGCTTTGCCTATGTGCATTCTCCGTCCTGATGGGATTGGACCACTCGCTTTAGAGGCTTAGTTTGCCATGTAATTGGGGCATCCCCACCCCAGTGCCTGAATTCTCTGCCGAGCATGAAGGGCGGGAAGGCAGAATCCAAACCTGACATCCTGTCTCTTCTAAAATGCAACCCAGTTGCCTTTCCGTGTCCTTACCAGCACTTGCTGGAAGGGGGGTGGCAGGAGTGTAGCTTGGCTCCCCGGCCTGGGAAGGAGAAGGAAGAATCGTTGTTAACAGGGGAAATCTCTGGAAGATGATCCCTCTTCCTTCCAGGAGGTGAGCTCTTTGTTATCCATGGTGGGGGCTGTAGTGTGGAAAGACACCTCTTTTCCTAGTGAGGATTCAGGTCTCTGAGAATCCCTTAGGGGATTTCTTAGCTGTTAGCCATTTTCTGCAGAAGTATCTTAATGCCTTATTCTAATGGAAAGAAGGCAGCTATAGCAGAGTGCTTGGCTGTGCTTTCCCCTCTCCCCCGCCAGGGTGGAAGCTGAGCTGCAGGCTGGCTTGCTCTTTATTTGCTAACCCGCCAAGAGATGTTTATAAAACTCACTTTTTAATTCTGCAAACTTTTTTCCTTTCAGTGTAATGGGGGATGGAGAAGGGACTGTCCATCTCCTTCAGGTGTGAATGCATGAATGACCTGAGCTGTTTTCTTCCTCCCAGAAGAGAAGTAGCCATTTAACCACTTAGTTTTGCTGTTTGTTCTTTCTCTTTACCCCTGCCCCCCTCCCCCCCTTCCTGAACTCTTTCTCAGCTGCTGGCTTCCCAAAAGCCAGTCTGTCTGAAATAGCCTATTTCCTCATACCCTTGCTGTAGGAAACCATGGTTTGGCGTCTTGGGAGGAAGGAGGAGCAGGGCTTTGCGGGGAGAAAGTGGTTGTGTACTCCCAGCTCTGAAAAAAGTTGTGCTGGGCTCTGAGACACTTGCATTACTGCCCTCCCAAACCCCACTAAGTGCCTGTCACCAAAACTCAATTCCTTCTGCATTTTCCTGCCATTGTGAGTCATTCCTAACTACTTCCAATCAGGGAGTAGCTTGTCGTTTGCAAGTGTACACGTGTGCGTGTGTGTATGGGGGAGTTGTCGCTACATTTGTTTTTCCTTCTTAAACATTTTTAAGTGAATGTATTTGGTTAGAGACTTTCCTGACTTTGTTTTTAAGTGGGTCAGTTTGAAAGCCATTTCATATTGACCTTGCTACTGCTTAATTCTGGGGATTTAATATCCTTTTAATCCTAGAATACTGTGTATGTGAGGGAGGAAATCTTTCCCCAAGGCATTCTGGTAATGCTCACTTATACCTTGCTCTCTTGCACTATGGTCAAACATTGGACTTTTTAAAAGGGCAAAGGATATTAAAAAAAAAAAAAAAAAAGCGGGTAATCGGTAGTCCTATTCTAAGGAAACTACTAAACCCAGGGAGTTCCAGGGCTGGCTGATATGAGCCAGATCAAGCAGGCCCATCATATGGTAGGAATTAAAGCATTAAACCCCACCTACATCTCCCCTGCCTCTCCCCTTTCCTCTGTGAGCTAATGTATTACTTCGTATATACCTGTATTCTTCTGAGAGAGTGAGGGGGAGGATCTCTGATCACAGCTGGCTAATGGAGCTGCTTAGCGGGAATGTCAGTTTAGGTGTCCAGTGCTTCCTTTGCATGGTCTGAAACCACAGCTGGGGTTTCCAGATGCAGTTCCCCTATAGCTGGGACCCATCCATGTTGCATTGCGGCCTCCTGAGGTCTCAAGTGAGGTTTTCAATAAAATATTGCACTGCTGTATTGTATTCCATGTATAGATGTATTTATTACCCCTTCCTGAGAACACTCACTCATTTACAAAAGTGCTTTCTTTGCTTTAGGCAGGCTCCCTTGGTCGCCCTTCAATCCTGTGTTGAAGCTCTGAACACCTCTTTAAAGGGACAGTTTTAACACGGGAGCTTTCTAAATGCTTTTTCTGTGCTTTAAAGCCACGAACAGTCCAGCCATATCAGGCTTTGATATGGAATGCTGAAACTAGCCCTCTTCTCCCTGTCTTCCCTAGTTTAACTTCATACATCCCTGGTGATGGAGAGCAGGCTTCATTCACTGTTTGTTATGTTAAGATTCACTGCTGATACCCAAGAGAATATGAACCAACCATAAACAGGCTAACCACAAAGAGTGTAATCCATGAGCCATGCAGAAAAGCATCTCCACCTACCTTCTTCGTGGCAAAGCATCAACTGTCTTCCCTAAATTGTAAAAGCACTAGGTTCTCTGGGCCAATACACTACAAAAGGGCTGTGCAACTTTGACAGTTGGGAATCCAGCAACTGCAGGTCCTCTTGCTCTAGCTGAAGTCCGGGTGCTCTCCAGCTTTATCAGAATCTACGACTGCAGCAGGTGCAACGTTGTGAAACCCAGCCCAGGGTGCGCTTGTGCCTGCTGGCTGAGCACGTGCTTCCTCAGGAAGTTTGTCCCATAACCTAGCTCTGTTGCACATGAAGTGGGGAAAAGGGGATGTGCAGCTACTTGGCTGAACACTGCATTCTCCAGTCATTGAAATGAATCAGCTAATCTACTGAACTGCCACAATTACGAGGCTTCCCAGCATGCAAACAGCAATTGCTTATTTATTCTCCATAGCGGTAGGGGAGCAACATTCAGTAAAGCACTGTCACCCTATTAACCAAAAAGTATCATCTTAAGGTAGCTTTCAGTATATTTAGGCAGAAGCAGCACATGGTGTTCTGTCAGTGGCGATTCTCAGTGTTGGTATCTGTTTCAATACCAAGATCTGCTTCATTGGAAGGCTTGCTCCTACTTGATCGCAGTCTTAAATATTACTTTTTCCTATGAACTTTATCTCCCACTTTCCAAAAACCCACTGCTTCCAGGGACACTACTTCTCTGAGAAGAAAAAACCTCAGCAGCTATTCCCCCAGGCCTTTCAAAACCTGCATCCATACCAGGCAATTCCTCTCTCTTAAGGTCTTTATTTGTTTTCAAGTACAGATTAGGCAGCAGCAACTTGCAGTATTCTGCTTTGAGCTAGGATTCTGACTGAGCTTGTTTAGTAACACCAGTGAAAGCAGGGCCAGCTGGGCACTGCTGATTTGGGCACACTTGGGTTATGTTTGTTTCAGATTTGTTGTGTTTTGTTTTTTTCTTTTTAAGGGAGGAGTATTTTTCCCCTCCTTTTCCCGCAAGGGAACTGAATGTCTAGGAATAATGCATATACAGCTAGAGCTGCCACCTTGTGCTCTTGCTAGAAACCTGCTGAAGTTACTGATTGTGGCAGAACTCTGCTATTTTTTCCACAAAAGTGCTGGAGTTTCCAGAAGTCTTTCCAACCTGCTTACAGGCCCACTTCAAGGAGTGGAGTTGGTTTGTAATCCAAGGCTCAATTACAAACTTCTAAGCAAAGCAAGTATCATCCCCTTTGGCCTCTCGCAGGCTGCACAGTGGCTAGCAGTGCCATACCCTCACTTTTACTGTACTTTACAAGCCACAGCTGCTCAAATGTCAGGTTCATTCAGTTACTTCTCCAGCTAATTGACTGCAATATATTTTGGGGGATTCCCCCTCAGATTTCAATTAAATGGTTGTACAATAGCTAAGGGTCTATTTGAGTAGAGAACCTGAAAAATGTATTTCCTTGCATTAAGACTCTCCAGTCCAGTATTCATGTAAGATTGTGTTAAATTTGACCTCCAGGTCTGGAACAAACAGCAGAGACTTTGTGCGCGTTTCTAGCTTGACTGACCAAACTTAAGCTGCTTGGACCAAGATCTTTCCTTTCGTATTCCTCTCCTTAGCTTTTACTGTGCGGTTTCAACCTGCTCTTTTGCACATTTTGAGTGTTTAAGGAAAGACTAGAGGCTTTGGCACCGTGGTGAGTATCAGTGGAGGGCAGCAGCGGATTTCAACCTCCCCAGGAGCTGGGTGGGCAGGAGCTCCCCAGCTGGCAATGGTTCTCCTTGTTGTCTTTCCAACCAAAGTGTAGATGAAAGCCAGAAGAAATGCGGGCAGGCAAAATGTGTTTTTTAAAACTTGTTTATTCCTTTTGTGGGAGTGTCTCAGGAAAAATGGTTGATCTCTGCAATAGATGCTAGTTTTTTTCCCATCTGTACCATCTTGCTGTACAATTTAAGCAGCTCTGAAGACCCTGTCTTCCCAAAATGACAACACCTCTTCCCAAATTAGAGCAGCAAGGCTGGGACTGGTGAAACTTTTACTTTTAATTATCAGGCAGAGGGAAGACTATCCTCTGGGAACACACGGATCATACCAAATACCCTTACGAGTTGTACGCCTCCACATGGAAAATTACTCTTAAAGGATTAATTCTCACTAGAAGTCTTAGCAAGCTATAATTTATTTGGTCTCTTTAATTTAGCCCCATTGTATTTTCAAGAGGGGACACTGGGATGTTGGTTGCAACTTTTTTTTAACTGTAAAAATACATAAAAATCAGTTGTGGAAATCATTTTTTTAAATAGTGTGTGGATGTCTCATTCTTGGTAAATGCCTTTTGAGTTTTTTAATCTTATTTTAAACATGTAATGTGGTATTTTATTTCTCCTCCTGGCACTGGTCTCTGAGCTCAGCTGTGAACATGCAACGTATAGTATTTTTTAACATGAATGTTAATTTCAATTGTATTTGAAATGGTCCAGCCAGGATAAGGGCTTAACCGCGGGGAAGGAAGATCCTCACGGGTGGGGGGGAGGGGTGCCTTTCCCCTCAAGAAAATGGGTCCTGCTTCCTGTTGTTCTTTCAGACTTGCCCGTTTGTTGGGGCGTGAGGGAGAAACGTGACAAATGTGATCTTTACTTGTCTCCTTTCCCCGCGGGGGGCCGGTGCTCCCGACTGCTCCTTTTTTGTATGTAAAATAAAACGTCTTACCTATGCTGTCTGCCACCTGCCCGCCTCCTCTGTCCGCCACCCT